CATTTTCAATGTGACAATCCTCCTGGATTCAGAGTGGTGGCAGGTAAGTAGTGATGACTGCCTGGTGGGATGATAGAAGCCATGTAAATGTCAAACCCTTTCCAGCATACAACATCTTCAAGATGTCTTAGAGGAATCCCCCCTCTATCCTGGGAACAAGAAGATTCCAAAGAAAGAGAGACTTTAAATAAACTACAGTCTGGGGCTGGCCAGTTAGCTCAGTTGGTTAGAGCCCGGTGTTGGTAACATCAAGGTCAAGGGCTCAGATCCCTACACTGGCCAGCCACTAAAAGGCCCTCAAAAACAGTTTGGACTGTACATGATGGTGTTTGCACTTCAAACAAAAGGAACAGACACCTGTTTGCCTTGCTCGCCCGACTGTCACTTCCCGTATTGCGTATCGCTCTCGGAGCTGGTGCCTCTCTCACTTAGAGGGCTGTCCAGCTCCTTAACATCTTGCTAAGCGACGCATCTGTTCCCCGAGCACAGGGAGAGAAAGGAATGAGAAGGAGAAGATGACGACTCAGTGCCTCTCCGGCTTTGATGGTGCTGTTTGCTCTCAGCAGGCTCCACTTCAAAGCCCTTTGCCAGTCGCCATTAACGAGTCCTCTCTCCCTCAGAGAGAAGAGGACTTTGCTGACAGAGGAAGGGTGGTTAACTGCTGGCTCAGAACCTTCCAGCTGGGATTAAGACATCAGAGGCCCTGGGGTAATGTAAGCACGTTCCGAATACAAGCTCCTAAGAGGAAAGGGAGCTGAAAAGCAACTAGATAACTCAATTGGAAATGAATATTTTAGTTCAGAGAGACAGCCCTTTTGGTTCCTTTGGGCATTTGCAGGGAAGTGCTTATAAAACAAGCAGCCTGGTGTCCTCCCCAAATGACCCCTAGGTTTTGTGGTGGCTGGGCTCATGTCATCCTAGGGAGGACCTCCGCCCTGCCACCAGGGGCTCCTTGTAGTCCAGGGAGAACTGACCAGAACGAGTCCTGCTCAGCCCTGAGAGGCTGCACATTTTTGTCCACCAGCCGTTATGTTTAAAACAAATGAACACCAAGACTAGGCTGTAGAAGCAGGAGTTAAGGTGGAAACAGAGAGTTCACCCCCTTCTTGGCTGGTGAGTAAGTACAGATGCCATGGTTTCTTAGCAGCCCACCTTCCTCCCGAGATGGACCCTACAAGTTCAACTCAAATCTCCCTCTCTACGCACCGACCTTCCCAAACCTCCACAAACTCATCTCTCACTGCTTCTCAGCACTAACCCTGTCCTCTCAGACACGTGCGTTTCCTGGCTGTCCCCTACAGGTGAACTGTTCAACGACTGGCCCGCCCCAGCATGGCTTTGTCGTGCCTTCCTTCAACCCATGCCCACGTCTCTCTCAAGACCTAGACTGAGACCTACCTCTCCTGGGAAGTCTTCTTCTGTACCCCCCGCCCCCGCCACTGAAGCTTCTTACCATTGCAGTTTAGCATTGGTGTTTGCTATTTGGCACCTCTCATGCAGGGGACGTCTTGCTTTTCAGGTTGCTTTATTTGTAATGTTTAGTTCCCCAACTTCTACTTCTTTTGTGTGCCACTAGCACTCAGAATAGGGTCTTTCCAGTGAGCTAGACAGCCACTCCCCGCCCCCCTGTGTAGAGGCCTCACCATTGATCCTGTTGCCTTGGAGGTAGAGGTTCTCCAGGTTGGTGTTGACTGGGGGGATCTTCTGCAGCTGGTTGTAGGAGAGGTCGAGCTCAAGAAGGCTGCTGGAATTGAAGGTGTTGGAAGCCAGGCCGTTGTTAGTGAGACTGTTGTGGGACAGCCGCACATACAGGAGCCTGGGCGAGCCCCGGAAGTAGCTATCGGGGACTGTGTACACGTTGTTGTGCTCCAGGTACAGCTGCTCAAGGGCTAAGGGCAGTCCATCCGGCACCCTCCGGAGGTGGTTGTAACTCAGGTCCAGCAAGATCAGTGACCGGAGGCCCCTCATTGCACTGCCCACTTCCTGGATCTCATTGTGTTGGAGGTACAAGGCTGTGAGGTTCTCCAGCCCCTCTAGAGCATTGTTGGGGACCCGCGAGATCTGGTTGTGGTTGAGATGGAGCTCCCGCAGGGATCGTGGCAGTGGACCAGGCATCCGTGTCAGGTTGTTGTGGTCCAGATACAGCCTCTCCAGATGTCTCAGCTTGGAGAAGACCTTTCTGCCCACCTTGTCACTGGTGATCTGGTTGCCGTGGACAGCAATCCAGAGCAGCCCAGTGGCATTGTCAAAGACACCTTCCTGGATGGAGGAAATCTGGTTGTTTTGGAAGTAGACGTACTTCATGCGGGAGGGGACGAAGGGCAGGTACTTGAGGTTGCGATTGTCACAATACATGGCTGTGGGGAAGTTGGGTGGGCAGTCGCACTCCTGGGGGCAGTCACGGGGCTCTGGTGGGGATGGAGAGCCATAGGCATAGGCTGGACCTTCTTCCACCCCATAGGGGTAAGGCTCGTAGGGCTCATAAGGGTAAGGGTCATAGGGATCGTAGTAGGTGGACTGCTGGCTGCGGAGGTAGTGGGAAAACCAGTGAGGGTCTTCTTCATACTGGGCCCCAGAGAGGGAGCAGAGGCCTGCCAGTAGCAGGAGGGAGGTCCACTGCATTCTGTCTCTCTGCAGGGAGGGAGAGAGAACAGAGCAAGCCAGCATGAGTGAGCCTCTGGGGAGGCAGGAGGCAGAGCAGGCAGGCCCTAGGCTTTGAGCCGTGCAGAGCGGACTTTGGGTCAGACATCTGAGAGCAGGAGCATTGCTCTTCCTCCCTCGGTGCCTCATCCCAGTCCAGCTCTGCATGCATAGTCCAGTTGGACTGTGGCTATGTCGGGTGAGCTAAGTGCATTTTCCCCTGGTCGTAGAGTCACAGAAACAGAGTCTGAGATTAGAAGAAACTTAAATTGGAGGGAAGGGGCCTGCATTTTTTTGAGGAGCAGATCCTTAGGAGCCCCTA